AAAAAAAAAAAAAAAAAAAATATATATATATATATATATATATATATATATATAAAAGCATATATGCTTATTTCTACAAAAGTTAAGATATAGAAGCTAATATAAAGAAATGCATTTTGCTTTAGCAAAATTTTGATTAAAAAATTTTAACTCAATTATAAAACAAGATAATATAAGTGCCAATAAATAATATATTTCTGATATTTTTACATAACAAATTTTGGATCGAAGAGTTCTTCAAAACGAAAATTCATTAAAATTTGATACACACACACACACACACACACACACACACACACACACACACATATATCAAAGTTTTATATATTACATATACATTCGTCCATATGTATTGTTTTGCATATAGAATGTCACAGAATAAATAGATTAAATTAACCCTTAAGCACACAGATACAAATCTACAAAAATATTTCGAAGTTTGACAATTACCTGAGAAAGTGTGCGAAACATCTTTTCTTGTCGCCACTTCATATCTTAGGGGCCAAAGAAAAGATGGACGCGATGTGTACACATTTAAGCGGGAGTAAAACAGCAATAGATTTTTTTATTTCATTGGGAGTCTATCAGACTCCTATCAGTGCTCAAGGATTAATACATTTATCGGTCAATTCGGAACGTTTTCTTCTTTATTAAAAAATAATACATAAATCTCGAAAATACGTCTAATATATTTTACCTTGAAATTCGGCTTGACGGTAACTGGCGATTTATCTTCTGGATTCGAAGGCGAAGCAGGTGGTGGTGTACTCTCGCGATTTTCGACAGTGAGAGTTTCCTGTTTCTTAGCTTCTGAAGAACCGTCTTTCGTGATGGAAATCCTGCGTTTGCGTTTTCTTTGTTCCTTGCCCTTCGTAGATGCCGTAAGAGCATCCATGAACATATCGCTCTCTTGCAGCATCATCGCTGGAAATAGCAATGGGAATTATTATTGTATATGATGTGCAAATGGCAACTCGTACATTGGAAGTAAACAAAATATATGACTGTATCTATACCAATATGATCAAATATGTTATTACTCAGAATTGGAAAATAACACGTTACTTGTAATTATTGTATAACAAAAGTAAGTTATGAATTTTGTAAACGAATATAATTATTATTTTGCATAAATAGATGAAATAGACAGCAGCAAATAATAAAAAAAAAGTTTCTTAAAATTTAATGACAATAGTAACGTAAATAATTATCACGATTCGTTACTTATTGAGTAACAATAACAGTAACGAATTACTCTTAAAAGTAGCTTTCCTGTTAATTACATAAATTAAAAAAAATATATATAGACTTTATATTGAAGATCTAGCTGAATCTAGGAAATAATTCTGAAAAATAAAATATTTGATTATTATTATAAAATATATTATCAGAAATATCTCTCCTAAATCATAATTTTATATATATATATATATATATATATATATATATATATATATATATATATGTGACGGTTCGTTGGGTGTTTTAACAGTATATACCTAGAAAATATTAAGATTCGTAAATATTAAGCTTCCATTGTCCAATAACTGCAAATAGAAAACAAATTTTTTCATGTCAGTAATCAGGATTTCGTAGAGCACATAAAATTAACATTAATTTGTCCGTCGCGATAAAATTAGCATTATTTTTTCAATATATATCCTGTAAGAAAAAAATATTAATAAATTTCTCAAAATTTTCCGTGTTTTTTGTATTCTGCATTCGTCCTAAAATAGCAAAAATAATTAAAATATGATTCAGCAGGTAACAACAATATTATTATTTCATTACTTTCAATAACGTATAAGAAGAAATTATATAAGTGCAATATGTGAACGTTTCAAAAAAATTTAGTCACATCAACTATAATTCTATATAGTTTTTTCAAATAAAATAAATTGTTCATTAAGAACCTATATCCATTTTTAAAGAGTAATTTAACAGTTCTAGGATACTTAATAAAAACAGATAAATATAAGCATTTTTTAAACTTTATGTTTTAGCCTTGTATGTAACTTTATGTTTTAGCTTTTATTCATTTTTCACTGAATTTATAGTACGTGACTATTTTCATAATAATAATAAATAGCGTAATAAATAATAATAATAGTGTAACTATAGAATAAGAACACGCGTGCAAGTGGGCAATCATGTAAATAAATAGATAATTATACGAACGAATACTTTCAATGCATATAACGCATATGCATACAACGAAAATCAATACTGTTATAAAAACGTATAAATTACCCAACAACCTAAATAGTCTTTAATATTAATATACGACATATTTAAAAAGATACGAATTAATATAATACTTTAAAAATAATATACATCCGAAGTAGCAAGGTGACGTCAAAAGACATCATTTAGACGTCACCTTGCGATCTGGGATTAGTCAAATCGCTATAATTACACTGCCAATGTTTTTAAATGCAAAACAAAAATTAGGTATTATTTACAAAATGATTGCGTTTTATTATAAATAAAATAATCTATATTTATTTGTATAAATAAATATATGTTCTATACACTAGATGATTATCATACTTCCGTATTATTGCATAAGTGATACATATACACACATACACTTGTACAAACTATTATTACAAATTAGACAATAATTGCAATCAGATATATTCGTAAAAAATCAGAACAAAAAAAATATTAAAATAATTTTTACTGAACGGTTACACACAATAACAAAAAATTAATTTTGACCGTTTTAATATTAAAAGGAAAAACATTTTTATAATTTTTTATATTATAAAAATAATTTATGCGTGAAAAAAAAACTTCCTCATGTTGTAATATTTACATATATAAAATAACTAAATATATAATTAATATAATTTCTCTCTTCTTTCTGCAATTAAGTAATATATAATGAAATTTACGAAATGAGCTAATTACAAAAATTTAGTTTTACTGAATTATCAAAATATATACGTTAATGC